GTAGAAAGCTTTAACCACGATTTAATAGACTGGTTAACGTTCTAAAATGCAAACAAGGCGTATACATCAGCTATCTTTACACACATGCGCCTACATCCTGCATTTTGTATGGCACCGATCCAAATATTCGTTTGGAAGATGATCGAGTCGATTGTGAAGTTTCTCCGCTTGAGCGCGAAAAGCAACCAGCTCACCGGCCTGGAGAATTTTCTGGGTATGCAAGTGTTAAGATATATCGAATGGTTGTTTCTTTTTTGATTTAAAGCTTGAAAGCAAAAATGATACTCACCACGAAGTAGCTTAATTATAGGTTGTAACTTCGTGCTCGGCGGCGACCTATCTTCCATTCATGCTAGCATCGGAAGTGTCAGATGATCGACGAGGATGAGGCCGTAAAGATGGCGGCTTTACCCAATTAAACTTGCGTAGCCTGTGCTGCACGAAGCACGGCTTTTCTTCCGAGTCGAAATGTAGATCTTGAAGAGGTTCTCCGGTCGATTCAAAAAGCCCGGCAGGACAACCCGCACTGTTAAAGTGCGTCCCCTGGACTTCACTTGAACATGCACGTGCGTAGGAGTAATCAGAACAGGTCTGGTCCCCCTTTGCACAAATTAATCGTAGATCGCTTGATCTGTAACATTTTCTGAAGACGGGTCAAATCCACAAAGTACAGTTTGTCGTACTTAAAATACTTACAAATCATGACACTGATGCCACATACCGTAACCTGCAAGTTGCCCAGCCTCGTCAAGGCATCATACGATGTGCAGACGAACGAAATGCCACGACCCGCATCGCTTGAAAGTCGCGGAGATGAACATGACACTCTCGCCATACCGCACGTTGACTCACAGAAGCAAGAGAGCTTAGGATTGCGTCCTGCCTATGCTCGATGGTGAGACGAGTAGCCGGACTCCACATGTTCGTGCAATTTTTCGCAGCCACTGGCGTAGGGACCGCAGCAAGTTCAGCAAATCGACGATCCTGATTCGTTGATCTGTCGTCCGAAAATAGTTCGAGGCTTCTCTCGAATTGAGAGTCGTCAGACACCCAGCGTGGCGCAGATTACTTAGTTGTTGATGTCCTTTCTGCCGCGATTGGCGTCGCCGAGCTTGGCGTTGGGCGTGACGGTGGCCGCGGCGGCGACTCGTTGAAGCATTTGCCATTGTCGAGATAATGACCTGATCCTACTGTCAAAATCAAGATAGGTGTAGCTAGGCAGATCGACTGTGGTGGGAGTAAGAACTACCCACAACTCTTTTCAAAGGGCCGAAAGGCAAACGCAGGATCAGTGAGACCAGTGCGGAGATAGCACCACAGTATTGGGTTGCCTTGGCTGATTAGAGAGGACTAGTCCGACTAACACCTATACAAACGCCTAGCTCGGTTGAGACTACTCGGATGAGACTACTCGGATGACATACTGCAGTTAAAGTGCAAACGTGAACTTTGAAGGCTGATCAGCATAAAGTCACGAAAGCTCTAACCGTAAGTTACGCAACGCAAAGTGTACCTAAATACACGGCGTATTGCAACTGCAGTCCTTAACTACAAACCTTACACTCACAAATTCCTTGAGAGGTGGTTCTTACGTCCTCTCAATCAAATGCGTTCCGCACAAGATATCAGGAAAGAATGTTAAGTCTGTAAAAAGGCGCGGTAGACTACTGTGAAGTAGGCGTGACGGCGACAGAGGGCGGGAGGCACAAGTCGGTGGCAGCAGTGACCGCGATTTTAAAGCTGTCGTGAGGCGAGGTCGCGAGGAGTCTTCGAAGGTAGATGCGACGAACGGGGCGAAACAACCGAATCAAAAGACAGAGGCGGAGGACGACAGACAATTTGGGCTTGTACGTAGTCGGGTGGGTGGCCTTTTCTTGCACGCTTGCGTGGGAGAAGGCAAATTAAGAAGTTGAGAGTACTGGGCCCTGATATAAACAGAACAACAGCGCGTTGTGCTAGAAATTTTCAGGCTGGGAAGTCGCGCGCGAAAAAGGACACTAACGTATGATCACTTGATAAACGAGGCATTCCTAATCTTTGAAAAAATCAAGCGGCGGATACCGCAGTTTTATGCAGTGTGTTTAATCTGGTGTATAGCGTGCAATCTCTTTACGGTTTAAAGTCAAATTACTTAAAGCTAAAAGCCTTTAGAGAAGAGGTATTTACTGTCCTTTTTCAGAAATTTAAAACAGCTGCTGTTTCGATGAATGAGGTGTGGTCGCATCGAGACCATCTGCGTATCAGCTAAATTTGGAGAGACGGCGAATGCTGCATTAAAGCAAAACTTGAAATTCAATTCTCAAAATCGGTTTAAGTGCAGAAGGTGGAGGCTATGTGAGCGTGCCAGAGACCGTGAATTTCAGCCAAGCTGAGTCCTCATACTGCTGAGCGGTGCCGTTGTGCTTTAGATACGGGAGCTCCGAACATCTATGGCCTATGTGTCTCCTTCGCTCTAATTTTGGAAAACAACACATTTATGCAAGACCGGTCGAGAGATTACTGGTCATACATAAAACACTGTTGGCGCAAGGCCACCCACTGGATTTAACTTACTTATAATATAACTTCTGAGATTTGTGGTCCATGTTTCTAAGATATCGATACTGATTGAGAGATGGGGTCTATAGCCTAGGTTTGCTGTTTGCTGTGATCAACCCACCGAGCTATACAAGCCTTAAAATCTCTGAAATCTCAGAAGTGCCATAAAAATATGTACTCATTATGCAGCAAAGAAGAATATCACGTCATAACGGCGTATTGTGACGAAGGCTCGTTAAGGCGCCGAAAGACCTGCTGAGCCTTTAAATAAAGTTTCAAGACTCTAATAGCATGAAAGCCTTACCTAGACCAAACAGAGGACATATTTCAAAATACAATATGTTCCTCTGTTTGGTCTGGATGATAAACGCCACGAGCCATGGGCCGACTGCAAGCTAAAGGTGATAGATACCCCGTGCTCTTTTTTAATGGGGCTTTTCGAGGAATAAAATCAACCTTTAGAAGCGAGCACGAAATAGTGACACGTTTCGTGCAAGTAATGAGTTTGTCCTATGTATTCATCATTAGTTTAGCAGTAAGCCTCAAGTGCAGCTAGCTCTAGATTTATACCCTATTGAGATGGAGAAAGACATATCTGAGCTAAACTTAAAAATTCACCTTTGTCGAGACAAAAGAGAGCAACCGTATGTCGTAGTCTCCAAAATCTGGCCTTATTTATACGGATTGGATCGGGTTCAACCCGCGGCCCCTCTTGCCACCCGCAATAGTGAAAATCGCTATGCTTCCTGCCCTGTTAGAATGGATTTGTTTTTCTTCACATACCCGACATTACAAATTATGAGTTACAAAGGACTCTATGATCGTTGCTCTATGCTCGATGAAGATGACGTACTTGTTTGGTATGTGTAGTTGGCACGTATATACGCTTGTTGTGACATGTGTGGTGGTTTCGTATCATGTGCAAGTTTTCTTATGTTTTCTGCTTTCCGATATAGTCTAAGCGTTAAACTTATTGGATTTCACGAATCAGGCTCGGGTTTGACCGCTGGCGTGGGCCTGTAATGTTTTTTTCCTATTTTTACACAACCTTATCCCTTTGTTTTTACGCGCCGTCTCAAATGAGATTCATCAGGGACTAATCGATGATCGTCATTCCATGCCTGATGAAAACGATTTGTTTGCTTGGTGTGGGTCATTCGTACGTATAAATGCTAGTTGTAACATCTTTATGCATCTTTCATCGTGAATTCGCTTGCTCTTTGCCTGCCTTTCAATGAGGCTTAAGCCTTTCGATTCGAATACATTGGAAACATCATCTGAATAATCGCAATCATTCAGGGATGGTTAGCCACACACCGCGAGACTCTAGTTGTTGTACGTATCAAACATATTTGTCTCCCGAAAACTGGTTCGGGATACTGACATCACTGAATTATAAAGGTAAGAAATATAACTCTATTTACGTTTTCAATTATACAAATAACATTTTAAAGTTGTCGATATTGAAGAAAAGTGATAAAAGATAATGTCGTTATACCTACATCAATATATTCAAATGTCAAAACCATAGAATAAACAAAAACAGCACTGTAAAGGTTATAAAAGTACTGTAATTAGATTGAATATATTTCCAGCAAATTTTTAAAAAAAAATATGAGACCGATGACAATATCAGGCCTGCGCCATATCTCTCGTTGAAGACAGCAGACGTGGTGTCGGACCAAAAGCAGCGCGCTTCTGAGTCTGAAACGTGGATATAATGTTCGCTGGTCCGAAGTGAGACTTTTCCCGGAACGCGACCAGTTGATGTTTCGAGACAAATCGCTGATACGTGTCGAGTTTGGCTGTATTTAACCCATTCACGTTCAGCCATTAAATGTCCAAGTCTCTCTAGAGGTAAGAGTTCGCCAATCTAGAGAGCATTCTAGCCATTGTATTAGGCAACGAAATAGTTGCTAAATCGTTAAGTGCCTCAAGTACGTATTTAAGCGTACGATTGTTGTTAACAAAGATCTTCGTTGCATCAGTCCGCGCCAAACAGAGAAGATTGAGGTCACTCCAGAGCAGAAACGGGGAGTGACAAAGACGTTTAGATGGCAGTAATGGTACGAGAAGAGATTGGAATTTCACTGATTCGATATATATACTTGGCGCAAACACCATCAGGAACAAGTCACTGGTGGCACTGTGTACCGCAGCGGCTCGAACTTCACAACTTGGAGACATAGTCTCGAAGAAGATGGCAGCATCAACGGAGTCTATGTCATAGCACTCTTTCAAACGCTCTTGGGTATCAAAAGATCCACTATTAGCGACAGGTTCCGCACTGATTGCACGATACACCGCGTGCGCTCGGAAAAGTTGATCTCGACGATTGGAAGGAAGGTGAAAGATGCGTCGAAAATAAGCAGGCTGCGCTTGAATAGCTGCCAGGACGTCTTCGTGAGATGTCATTTTGAGGACATCTTGTTCGATGAACTCGTCGATGACATGTTGAAATTTTATATCGAAACTTCTTTTACTTTAAGAGCGAGGGTACGAGCACTTTTCAGTGCACGAGCCTCTTCCTCATACGGCAAAAGACCAGACGAAGCAGTAAAGCCAGATACCGGGGTGATCATTCCATCGTTATCCCCGTCTTGCTCACCAGCTTCCAGATCAACATCAGGTGGGAGGGTCGAGTCAGATCCCTCATCCTGAAGAATGTCATAGCAATTTGGCGATACAGGAAAACAGTACATCAGCAAATAGGGGTCTTCAGCTTCACACTCCAACTCGCAGGGAATGAGGCCGGTTGGCTCGATGTACTTGCCGCCGTCGCGATTGATGATCCCGTATTGCGAATTCTGAATGAGTTTCCACTCCGGTGCGCTTTCCGGAACGGCATCAACGATCATGCGCTTCACCTTAGTCCCAGTTATAGTAGAGACACGACCGGTGAGCATAGCATG